TGATTGAGTGGAAAGGTGGTGCATTGGTTCACCCTATCACCTTGCATTAGTGGTTTAAATTTAGATTGGCTGGGGCTTTGGTGTGACAAAGCCTCCCTCAAACTTTAATGTAATGCAAATGGACTTATTCTTATACAGTGCTTTTCTATGCTCTTTCTATGTAAATGCTTTCTATCTAAATCCTACTTCGGAGAGCAACATGGGTTAGTATCTTGCCCAAGGACATTTGGCATGCAGACTGGAGCAGACAGGGATCAAAACACAACTGAAGACAATGAGTGAATAACTATGGGCAGAAACAGGAAGGGGGGGTCAAAAATCCTCGACTTGAGGCCTCAAAAGATTTTAAGTCTTTTCAAGTAAGTATTCACAGCCTTTTTATAGGTGCAAAGGCTGTGAATACTTATGTACATGTTATATTTTCCCTTTTTCATCTTGAGATATTGTGTGTAGATATTTGAGGTAAAAATGAATTTCATCCATTGTGAATATGAATATTGTGAGAAAACCTGGAACAACTTAAGCGCTTGTCAGTACTTTCCCGGATCCGCTGTACCAATCCATTCTTTTCCTCATACCACTAGCAATGCAGCTCTTTTGATTTGAACATAATAAAAACCCTCAGTGGCCACATGGGAAATGTTCTGGCACAGGACATAAACTCCTCTCCCAGTACTCCCTCTGACTTTGAGTCAGCACTGTCATCTGTGGGACATATTTGTCCTGCGTATATTACACGCTTGACAGTGGCTTGTGCAGTAGCCTGGAGTTGGTCTCCAGCAGTGTTGTTCAAGTTACTTGAATAAAGTAATTAGTTACTTAGTCACTTTTTAAAGAGTCAAACTCAAAGTAATGTCAGTATTTCCCAGCATTAAATGCTGCATGGTGCTGCTCTATCCCGCGCTCCATGTTTTCTATTCTTGATCTACACATGTGTCTGTTGGTGCCATGGACGTTGGAAAGTAACAGTAATCTAATTACCTTTTTGCAATAGCAATCCCTTACATTAAAAAGTAATTGGATTATGTGTTACTGCCCATCTCTGGTCTCCAGTATTGTCTTCTAGTGCACTGAGTTCCTAAGGAACATTACTAGTGTACTTTAAGCCTTGTATAGTGCCAAGCATTCCTATACCTGTGAGATCTGATTTAAATGACCTCCTCAACATGTCTTGAAGTTCTCCGGAGGCCTGGTAATGAGCTAATCATTTGATTCAGGAGTGTTGATCCAGGGTGAGAGCTAAAACCTGCAGGACACTGGCCCTCGAGGCCTGGATTTGGACACCTCGATCTAAAGGATAAAGATCACTCTTTCAAGGATGTCAGTGTTCACATTTTAGACAGAGAAGATAGTTTGAGAGAGAGAAGTGAAAGAGGCCTTCTATGTCCACTGTGAACAGCCATCTTTCAACAGAGGAGGTGGCTTATCACACCAACTGCTTGCCACCTACAATGCAGTTTTGAGATCCCTTCCCAAGGTGCCTCAAGCCCTACTCACATCTTGCGTCAGTTGATCTCAATGGGTCACATGATAGGGTGAGGGAAGGTTTGTTCTGCTGATGAACTCTGCTGTTAATGACTTACAGCTTTTTTAACATCTTGGCTCATGTGACAAGGCACATCATCAATAGTGGTTCAACGACCTTCTTAATGGACAACCCCCACTAGGGTTTAAATATCTGAGACTTTCCACGATTTGGTTTTAGAACTGAAGAAGCTTTCAGATGAGAGGTGAAGTGTCTTCAAGAAACTTTAAAAAGTCCAGTTTCGTTCTTTTCCAAGCTCATCAGACAATATAGGAGAAATCTGCTCTCTCTTTCTAGTCGCTGTCAGTACTCCTGCTGCAGCATTTTAGATCAAGCGATGGCTTTTCAGTCAGTTTTTAGAACAACCTGATAATAATGAACTAAAGTAATCCAGTCTAGAAGATCTAACTGGGTGAACAGGATTTTTAGCATCATTTTAAGACTGGATCTTTCTAATTTTAGATATTGTGCAAATGGAAGAGAGCATATCTGTTTAATATTTTTTTGAGCCTTTGTGTTTTATGCTTGAATCATTCCAGTATAAAAAAAAATGCACCCTGCTCAAGGGATGAACCTGTCATGGCTACTGGACGGACTCACGCGCAGACAGTTCTTTCTTTGAGAACAAAAGGAGATTATGTATTTACAACAGGGATCACCTCAGTGCTATATATATGTACAGTGAGTTGGGAGGGGAGGGGGGTCCAGGGCTCCAGGGAGAGAGAGGGG